ATTAAGAATTCTGATAAAAGAAGCAAAAAGTGAAAGATTTCGAAAACCTTTTTACCACAATGAATAATTCTGATTGCATTACATGCATTGCATTTAGAGCACTCAGTACATGCATCCATGAATAAAGAGGACAGAGACTTTCCATTTCCTAATCAAACAAAAGATTTCAAAAGAGAGAAATTTACTTGTTCAAAGATGAGAACTCGATTTGAAAAACATATGAGATTTTTAAAGTTATTGGGCCTCTGTTGAGAAGGACTTTTCTAAGATAAGATTTTAAAGTTGTTAAGCCTCTACTGAGAGAAACTTTTTCAAGATAGGATTTTAAAGTCGTTGAGCCTTTGCTGAGAGGAGGCCTTTTCAAGATGAGATTTTTAAAGTTATTGAACCTCTGTTGAGAGGAGCTTTTTCAAGAGATGGATTTTAAATTCGTTGAGCCTCTGCTAAGAAGAGCATTTTTAAGATGGATTTTAAAGTTGTTGAGCCTTTATTGAGAGGAGCTTTTTCAAGATTGATTTTAAAGTTGTTGAGCCTTTGCTGAGAGGAGCTTTTTCAAGATAAGATTTTTAAAGTTGTTGAGCCTCTGCTGAAAGGAGCCTATTTCATATTTTAATTTTTAAAGTTGTTAAGCCTCTGCTGAGAAGAACTTTTCCAAATGAAATTTTTAAAGTCGTTGAGCCTCTACTGATAGGAGCCCTGTTAAGATAAGATTTTTAAAGTTGTTGAGCATCTACTGAGATGAACCCTTTTCAAGATAAAATTTTTAATGTTGTTGAGCCTCTTTTGAGATGAGTCTTTTTCAGATTTTAAATTTTCAAAAGTTGTCAAGCCTCAAGTGAGAGGAGCATTTTCGATTTGAAAAAAAAAAACATTTTCAATAGTTTATGTTTAAAAAAAAAGAGGAAAAAAATAAAAGAAAAATCCATTTGAATTTCAGATAAAATTGTTGTCTTTGTCTTTGCCCTATTACTGATTATCAGTAATGTACAAATAGGGGCAACTGTGGACATCAAATTTGCCCGATAAAATAATAAATAAAATAATAATATTATTATTAAATATAAAATACCAAAAAATATAAAATATAAAATACAAAAAAAAAACAAAATACAAAAATATAATAATAAAAAAAACATAACAGAAAAAAAAATCGGGGATGCTCTACCACCCACCCCTCACCTTATCCTACCATCCATGCTTTACCACCCATCCTGCTGCCAACCTTACCACTGTCAGATGTTGCCAAAAAAAATGCCTAGCCCTGTGCCATTCCCTTAGGCACGAGGCACTGTCGGAGCTCTATAAATAGAGCTTCTGATCGAGAAAAAAGAAAAAAAGAAGAAAGGACGCTGCAAAATAAAAAAAATTATGCAAAAAATTAAACAAAAAAAAACACAATCCTCCCCGTAGAGAGAAACCCAACGCCGAGCTTCCTGCACAAAGAAGAAAAAAAAAGTCAGAATACAAAAAAAATATATAGTTTCACTGAAACTTTGAAAGCAGATCTAAAGAAGTGAGGAATCTTTTTTGTGAAAAAGAGGTTGGATCTATGTTTAGGGTGTAAAAGAGAGCATTTTAGGTGATTTTGATTTTTTTCTAGTCACCAACGACAGCGGCCAACTATCGACGACAGCGACGATGGCGGAGGCGACGGTGACCAGCCGACTAGCCAACCAGTTTGTGTTTGGCTAAAAAAAAAGGAGAATTTTTTTTTCAAAGGAGAAAAGAATGGCTGAAAAAAATTTGAACCTTTTTATATAAACAGTGAAAACCAAATGACGCTGTTTCAATAAAGACCAAAACGACGTCGTTTTGGTCCCTAAAGATCTGCCCGTCAACTCGAATCCGCGCATTCGACCTGCAACCTGCTTCCTTCATCAGCCTTTGACCAGTCCACTAAATCGAAATCGAACCACTAAATCCAACCTGGATCGAAATTGAACCGCTGAACGCGATCGAACCGTCGGTCCGAACCGCGCGTTGACCGGACCGTTGACCAGTCCGGTTCAGGTAAAAAAAAATTTTTAGAATTTTTTTAATATTTTTTATATATATTATTTTGGTTATTTTAATTATTGTTCTTAATATTTTTGCATGTAAAAAATGTTTAAATTTACCAAAATAAATTTTTATTGTTTTATAATCTTAATTAATAAAAAAAATAAATAGTAAAATATATGATAAAAGTTTTTATAATTTTATTAACTTTAAAATAAATATTTTAAAACAATAAAGAATAAGAAAAAATAAGAAAAAAAATTTTTATCCGAGAATGAGATTCAAAGGCATTTCGAGTAGTGATACCTATGAAATCTCTAGATGAAAAATATTTTTTTAAAATACTACCAGTGTATTGAAGTTTTTTAAAAAAGTTTTCAATACAATAAAATTTTTCTTTTTTTTTCTTTTAGTAATAAATAAAAATTGATTAATAAATTAAAAATATAAGTAATAAAAATGAGAGGAAAAGCAATTTTATCCGATAATAGGATTCTAAAAATATTTCGAGTAGAGATGCTTTAAGAAACCCCTAGGTGAAAATTTTTTTTGTAAAATATTACCAGTGTATTGAAATATTTATAGAAAGTCTTCAATATAATTAAATTCATTTTTCTTCAAAATTTCAATTTTAAATAAAATATTAATAATTAATAAAATTTTTAAAGAGAATAAAATATGTGCATCAACATGATAACATTTTATATTGCATGCATGATATTTTTTACGAAAAGTAAATGTAAGCCTCCGAAAATGAGATTCTAAGGTATTCCGAGAAGCAATGCCTAAAAAATCTCTAAGTGAGAAAAAGTTCTTCTAATGTTGCCAACGTACTGAAACATTTTAAGAATTATTTCAATAAAAAGGTTTTAATTTATTTTTTTCGAGAATAAAATTTTTTTTCTAATAAATAAAAAAATAAGAAAATTATTTTATTAAAACACCAAAAATCAGATTATTTTTATTAAAATTAAAGGATAACACGTAGTTAATTGGTATTATTTTTTAACGAGTGCTGTGGTGGTGCTAATCATTTCGCACGCGTAACTGACTCTCAAACTCAGACTGTTTCGTAGATCGTAAAATTATCTTTTTAATAAATTTTAATTAATTTTAAAACTTTATTAAAAAGATATGTTTTAATAATTGATTAATCACATCTAATAAAAAAAATTGATGATGATTTCGTTATTTTTTATTTTATTTTCAAATTCATGATACGCACACAAAATCGCTATGACAATTCATATTAAAATTACTTTTTAATCCTTCGATCTTTTCAAACACAATCCAAATGAATATTGATATCCGTCTAGTTTTGAAAGCAGATGTATACGCTTATTGGTTTGGTTCAAAAGCAGAGGAATATGCTTATTCGTCTGTTTTTAAAGGTAAACGGATATTCATATTTGTCCGTATTCGAAAGCAGATAGATACCCAATAATAATTGGTTTAGGGTGCAGATTCTGTTCGAAACTTGCAAAAATTGGCTCGGCTAAGATTGTGATTTTGTGTTTGATGATCATGGATTTTAAATGTATAGAATTTAAAGAGGAAAATAGTTTATGGATTTTCGACCAATGGGTTGATGATCATGGACAAAATTTGAGCAAACCATGATTTTAAAAAGCAGATTGCCAAATTTGGTTACATAAAATTTGAGTAAAAAATGGGTTGCATATAGAATTTTTGCCAGTATTTAAACGAAAAGATTCTCCTTTAAACCATACGGATATCCATATCTATATCGTTTCAAAGACGAACGGATAGACGTATTCCTCTTATTTAAAATCAGACGAAAATGTATATCAGTCTTAACAGAAAAACATACCAACATCAAATATTAAAGTACAAATTTGATTCGAATAGGAAAAGAAATTATCTAAATCTTAGTCTCAAATTTAGTTTCATCCACTGATTTTACCGGCATCTTGGCTCAATCAGTTTTGGGATGGAAAAATGAAAAAAAACTGAAAATATTTAAATTATATTATATATTTTAATTAATTTTTATATATTTTTTAAATTTTTATAAAATAAAAATAATTATCTTATATTTATATCTATTTAAATATATTTAAAATAATATAAAATTATTATTAAAATTTATAACAAATAATTTTTCAAAACCAATTAATTGAACCAACTCAAACCATAAAATTTAATTCAAATCAATTTGATTTCTTATAAAAATTTATTTGAATTTAGATTAAATTTGGAAATTTAATAATACGATTCATGAATAATCGATCTGAACCCAATTTGTTATCACCCTTATCTGTAAAGGCTTTTATGTAAAATTACTCAACTGTAAAGGCTTGAATGTAAAATAACTTAAGATTCAACTGGTTGTGGTGTGCAAATTTTGTTAAAATGTGTTTGAAATATGGGCGTACGTGCATTAATGATAACATTATGTTTGGATTAAGGGGAGGAAAAGGAAAGAAAAATAAAGAAAAGTAATGAAAATAAAAAAAAAAATTTATTTAGATAAATCTTTAATTTAAAAAACAAAAGGTGAAGATTCAATAAATTTTGATTTTTTTATAATTTTTATTTTTTTAATATTTCAAATTTAGAAAAAAGTTTAAAAAATAAAATTAAAATTTTTTATTTTTACAAAAAAATTATTATATCCAAAAATCTCTTAAAATCACAAATAATAAAAGATTATAATCGAAAAAAATTATTATAATGAATTTTTTTTAACTCTTTATTCAAACAATAATTGTTAAAAAATTTTATTAATTTTAATTATTTAAATAATATATATATATCCTTTCTTTTTTAAAAAAAACTTCTATTATTTTTTTTTATTAATATTTATTCAAAACATTACGTAAGAGTAAAGGAACCGCTGTGCATAGAATTTTCTTATAAATATATTAGAAATTATTTTACACTATTTGTAAAAAATGGTAAGAAAGAAGGAAAAAGATGAGAAAGGAACAAAAAAAAAATTATTGTTTTTCATATGGAAAATGAAAAATAAAAAGAACGAAGGTGAAGATAATGTTAGATTCATAAAGCTGATGGCACAATATTAAGAAACAGCCTAAAATGCCATTCACTTAAATCAATTTATCAAAAACCACTCTATATGAATGAGTGAAGAGTTCGCTACATACTACAATTCTGATGAATTATCATTGAAGTCATATGCCCAACAGAAAATCTCCACAACGTAAAACTTGTCATCAACTCTTACTAGCTTACCGGTTCAATATCCAAGGCTTTAATCTCTCACAGACATGATGAAGCTCCTAAAATCAGTTGCCACCAACAAAAACCTTAATCTCACGGGCCATGAACACCTTGTTACCTCTTTCTTTCTGATCGCCATTTGTACACTGGCTTGGAGGTTGGACATTTTACTTCATCTTCACGGAGTTTGTTCTTCTGACCCTTTTTCTGTCCATTAAATTGAATGCAATGCTTCACTTGAAAATTTAAATAAATTTCAATGCATTGACCATAGTAAAAAATTTGCTTAACTATGCCAATACCTTTAATTCCTTCTTCAGTGACATATCCATATATAGTTTCTCCAGCTGATTCACTCTATTTTTCCTGGCCTCTAATTCCCTGTATGAAGTAGCTGTCTCCCTACATTCGAAGTACAGAAAAAATTATAAAGATTAGTATGTGTGCGCATGAAATCATGCATTCCAAGATGAATATAACTGATGGCAGCAATAAGTTCAGATAGGATGGGAAACACGATATTACAAGCAATCATGGCTACAAGGAAGCAAGAACTTTTGAGGTTCAAACTGGATGGTAGTAATTAGACTGCCCTGGTTGATTAATTGAAAAGATTGACTTTTGAGGGCTTAAACCGAACGAAACAGAGCAAATTGAAACGTTGGTCTAGGCTTGTGAACAGTATTCCACAAGCAGCATAAAAGTTCAGTGATAGGGCTAAAATTTGATGGTCTTTTGGATGTGGGATTAGTTGGTGCTAGATTGATGCTATTTTATAAATTAAATGGCTTGATTAACCTGAAACAGATTGAAGTATGAGGAGAGGCTTCACACGATAATGTTAGGACTGCTTCACATAATAGTAATAGCTACTTCTCATCAACCTCTTCTCTATTAATTAAAAGAAGTTAAAGGCATTTATACAGATTTCTAGGAATCTCAATCTCTCAAGGACTCCAAATTGAAAATAAGATACTACCAAGATTAATTAAAAAAAATTCCTAAACCCTAGATAGAAACCTAATGTAACATCGAAGAGCTGTATATGATAATTTCCAGAGATGCTAAATATTATAATAATATTATTGACACTTGAAACTGAAGAAAACAGGATATTAATAACACACTCAACTTCTGACTTGAACAAAGCATAAAACTTTGACTTACTAACAGGAATTTTAGATTACATAAGGTAATAGATAAGTCCAATACACAAATGCCATGTTCCAATTCATTGATATTTCAACTTAACATAACTTGACCACTTTGTGTACTTAATCTCTCCAAAGTTCAGCCAGTTTTAAAAATATTCAGTCCACCGGCAACTTCTACAGCCCAAGATGACTAATTCACTTACCAGCATATAGAGGCAATTTTGCAATCAATATTTTTCAACAATGTAGCCATGAAAATAGCCCATAATAACCCCATCTTTGTGACATCATTTTAGTAGAATGAGATGAAGAAATTTCATGTAAAACTTCATAAATATCCTCCAATAATGTTCCAAATATATGACTTTATTACAAATTGTTTGGTCTAAAACTAAAAATCTCATTGCCATATTCAACAAATCAAAATAATCAAGAGCAATTGCTTTAATGAAACCCCTTTTCCAATTTCCACTGAATTCAAGCTTTAGCAATTGTATGGTTTAAAAAGTAAACAACTGACTACATGAGTGAACAAAATTAGATAGCCAATCCAGTTATTTACAAAACACTTAGCAAAATATTGTCAATTAACTAACCTTTTAATATGATCAGGGACATCATCAGAAGGGGGAGTAACTCTGCTTTCTGGAGATTGTGATTGCAATTCTCTAACCTCTTCCCTGTAAAAAAGAATATTTATGAATACAAACCTTTTTACATTTCAAAACAATGAATAATATGAATAAATATAAACTTGACTATGATTCATATGAAGGTCCTTCTTTTCCCCTTCTTTGTGAAGAGACAGAGAGTAGCATATACTAAAGTGCCCTATATCATAGGGCACAAGAACCATATTTCAACTAGTTTTACCAGCCCTACAACTATGTCAAGATGTAGCAAACAATGAATGAAATTTTGGAGCATTTGTGCTAATCATTGGATGCAAAAGCAAGCAGTTTCAACTGTATTTACAGAATTAATGTTAGAATACAGAAATGAGTTGTGATTTTTTTTAAAGAAAAAGAAAAAGAAGGATATTGAAGGGTAAAATTGAGAGAACAAGATAATAAGGCAAAAAAAAAAACATGGGGACGATTTAGTTAACTATTGAGTTAAACTTGGTTTAGAGTTTTGAATAATGGTGACATGAATTGTTAATCTTGCATGCATTAACTGGGTTTAGGCAAATTAGTAATTACCACGTTGGTCTACCTCGCATGCTGTATTTCAATCCAACATTTCCCTTTACTATTTTATCACATAGCCAGCCAGCACATCAATTTCTTGGTACTAAATACATGGCATATTATTTGGAGAATAGAAAAGAAAAAATATTTTACAACATAACATTCACTGCTACAGTCCTATAGTAATAAAATTATGGGTTTTTTAGATATCTACAGTAATTAAAAAAAAAAAAACATCTATGTAATAGAAAAACACTCAATTTTTTCCAAATAGTACTTTCTAGTATAATACAACCCAAAAATGAAACAATTAGGACTGTCCTGCTTGTATCACAAAGAAACTAAGGCTTTGCTTGGTAAGGTGGATAGAGAAATAAAAAGATGAAAAATTGGAAGAGAAGAAAAGTGGAAACATAGAAAATATATTTTTTTTCCATTGGTATGCTTGGTTGGAAAGATGGAAATTTTGAAAGAAAATTTAATTTTCTTTCCATCCCTTGCTTGGTACAGTTGAATAATGAAAGGAAAGAAAATGAAAATTATATTATTTTACTATTATAACCTTTGTAAATTAAGATGAAAATGACAAAAAAAAAAACTTAAATATGATGGATAATCTTGTATGTATGCAATACTTACTCACACCTCTCTCATTTTCTCCTCTTTTCTTTCCAATTTGGAGTGATTTGTATTTGTGAAAAAGTGTGAACAATGATCATCTCTTCTATTTTCTTTCCTCTTACTTTTCTTTCTTACCAAGCATACGCTAAATTCATTTTCTTTCCACCCTCCGCTATCCATCTTTCCACGTTTCTACTCTACCAAGCACACCTTAAGTCTAGCATTCTCTAACCCATACCAAAACCAAGATGTACAAAATAACTAGTAATGAATGATGCATCCATCTATCTATCTGTTTGTCTATCCAACCAACAAACACCAAAACACAAATACACCCATTTCCTTGTCTCTAAACAATGACAACAACAACTAAGCCTGTCTACTACAATAAGGGGATAACTATATGGATCACTATTGCCCTTAAGATCATATTTTAAGTAATCTCAGTAAAAGTTGGACTTCTTATAATTTCCACCAATGTCCACTTTGGCCGTCCCCTCTTTCTCAAGTCATGAATCCTTCACAATTCAGATCTTCATGCAGGGATATTTGTAGGTCTCCTCTTTATTTCTCCAAACTACCTCCAATCTATTTTCTTTATCTTCTCCACAACAGGTGCTAGCCCCACCTTTAGCTTTTTACACTTCTTCTTAATCTTATGTTTCCTCAAACATACAAACATCTAGTGTTACATTCTAATCTAAGCCATACTTTTTTTTCCTAATCTTATGTTTGTATTCATTAACATAAACTGCAAAAATACTAATGTACCATGGGTGCACATTTCTTTTTTTTTTTGGCCAACCATGGATGCAAGTTTCTGACTCTTTGGAAGACATACATTGATTTCCAAATTAATTGATAAATGTTACTACAAGGTTTCAAAGAGGTTAATTATCAAATGTCATAATGGATATTATTCAAAGATTTTGGCAGAATAACAATACAAGACAAGTTGGTATACTTTTTGGGGGTCAAGCTTCAAAGGGGCCAAACTAACAGTAAATGATCTGTTTTAATTAAATGGTCATCACCCAGTGTTAGCCTTCTCAAAGTAGGCATGCTAAAAAGGCAATACAGGTATGATCGTTATGACATAAAATGAGACCACTTCAAGAAGAACATGAAAGTAGCACTCAGAAAGAATAATAATCATGTCAAAAGTAACTGATAGTTATCTTCTCTTTGTACAGTAACAGCTCAAAATTTTCATTGTAACCAACAACCAAAGACATGAAAAAGAAAGGTGATACTAAGAAATCAAACCTGTCTTCAGCATAGTAAATGTGTCCGTTAGATGGATAATTATCAACAGAATGCAACACTGCAGTAAGCTTCTCAATTTTCTGCAGCAGATTAAAAGAATATTAATAACTAGTTGCACATAATTTCATTACCAAAACCATTTAGGAAATATTAGACAGCCCTTGATAAACCAAAAATCGTCATAAAATCATCCAAGGTACCTTCCTTTCACTTTGCAATTTCTGTACTATATATCCTATGTCTTGGGTCTTCATTAGCATGAGTTCTTCTAGAGAGTATCTGTTAGCCTGATTCCTATACAAATAAAGAATTTGGAAAAAGAAAGAAGGTTGAATAAGCATTCTAGACTGCAAGCCCAAATAGAAAATGGTAAAAACATGAGAGCCGTATGTTACTCAGGTTTATGAACTCCATCCACAGTTCTTGATTTTATCATCTGAAAGTAAAATTCATCAGGGTTCCTGAACGCGGCTTTCTCCTTGAGTCTCTGTAGAGCACATTGACAAAAAGAGAATAAAGCAAATGGAAGAAAATTACAGTACATAATAACCATGAAATAATAGCCAGCAGTCCACTACAATCTAAGAAGCAAGAAAACGAATGCGATAACAAATATCAAAAGCAGGAAGAAAAAAAGCATAAACTTACCCGTAAAGTCTCCCCCTTTTTGTGGAATGCTTTCGCACGAACAACATAATCCTTGTGTTTTTCGAGAAGCCCGAATTTTTTCCTCGAGGACCTAATTATATAAACAAGCACCCATCAGTAATATAAGGAGGCATCTATCATTTGAAAGCAGAAAAGCTATTTAGAACGATTTGCATAATGAAGGGGAAAGCTATCACTCACGGTTGAGCTCGTTCCTTGTGAGATCGTCTGCTAATGGCATTCCTTAATGATGACATTTTTGGAGAAAGGGAAGGCAAGCAATCACCAGCACTTCACTATTAGCGTAGTTTAGGAGATCGAGGGTCGGCTGCCCACGGAGCAACTTATATATGCGCTTCAAATCTACAGAAACGTACAAAATCAAAATAGCACTAGAAATTAACGGAAAAGCTACCAACCAATTTCTATAGTCTTAAACAACCGAATTCCAATTAAACGAAAAAGAAAAAGAAAAGGCCATGAAGCATAAGAGTTGAACTTAATTTATTAGGAAACATTGAGTAAGGCGAGGGAAACCGACAAAATTCAGAAATAAGAAAGGAAATGCCTCAAGTAAATGACTGCTAGTAGGTGATTGAATCATCATAAATGCCGTGCTTTTCCATGGCTGCCATGACTTTCATAGCCTGGGAAGGTCCCTTCGATATCAGACGTTTACGAATTCATCTAGCAGAGTAGATGAAGACGGGGGGTTTAGTATGGAAAGCAAGAGGAGAGAGAATAATAAGACCGTGATAGCGAAGACGGAAAGCAAAAGATGAGAACGCAGCGTTTTTTAGGGAATCAATGGTGGGCTGGGATGAGACAAGAAGCCAACGTGGGCCTGGTCCATAAAAGAAACAAAAGGTTGGGAATCGGTTGCTCAGCTCTCCTTGTTTACGTATTTTAGTTTATATTTTTTTATTGAAAAAAAATTCTTTCACGCACCAAAAAAAGAAAAAAAGAAATTCTTGTATATATTACCCAAAAAAATAAAAATAAATTCTTTTTCAGCGATTATCAATATACAATAGTTTGCCTTGAGTCGGTGAAATACCTTCCTTCCCGTTGTTTTTATCATTTGGGTTCCTTCGATTCATTATTTACAACAAAAAATGGGAAGTATCCGCTGAAAATAATGGGACCGAAGGTCTCTCCTCCGGTGTTCTATCCACTCAATTGAAAGAGATTCGTAGTAACTAACAATTCTGGTTCAGCAAAGAAAGAAAGAGAAGAAAAGGGTGGAGGAGGAGGAAGAGAAGAAAGAGATGTCGCTGAGAATAAAGGCGGTGGTAGATAAGTTCGTGGAAGAGCTGAAAGAGGCGTTGGAAGCGGACATACAAGATAGAATAATGAAGGAGAGAGAGATGCAAAGTTACATCGAGGAACGCGAGCGCGAAGTCGCCGAGCGTGAAGCCGCCTGGAAGGCTGAGCTCTCTCGCCGGGAGGTCCGCTTTTCTTCTTATCTTTGCCTGTTCAAAGAATAAAATTGTGAAACTTTAGTTCATTTACAAATTCGAACACCAAAGTTTGCTGCTTGATTACGCTGCGTTGCAAGTGTTTTTAAACTTTTCAATCTCGTGGAAACTGAGATTGATCGGTACTGATATTGAAAACAGTCTTTGATGATTGAATGTTTTTCGATGATTCTTCAATTGGTTCCTTTTTTTTTGGGGTGGTGATCCGCAGAAGGGGCAGTTTCTCAAATATAGAGAAATGGGAAATCTTAATGATTGCTAGTATATTTCGACGATGAAGTTAATTTTCAAGTATGGAGTATTGACATGTCCCATACTTTGCAAGTAATGGGCTGTTGGGTTATAGATACAGATCTATTCATCATTCGGTATCAGCTTTCATTAATGAAGATAATTGATAAGAAATGGATATGAGCATTTGTTGTCCTGATTTACGGGTCATGCTGTCAGATTGCCTTGAACCGTATCCTCCATTACCAGGGCATAGTGCTGATTGCTAAATTCCTCGCTGAAATTATTGTTGTTGCTCTTGTTGTTATTGTCTCTTCTGTTTAGTCATTTTATGTTATTGTCTCTTCATAGGTTTTTGACATGTATTTATCTTTGTTAATAGTCAAATTAAAGTGATTGTTCTTTTATGAATTGAGTTTTATTGGTCCATATTCTTTGGCAAAGTAAAGGGAATTCTAAATCCTAACTCATTATGGTTCAATTATCTGTAGATGTATGGTCAATAGTGTGAGGTTATCTTTGATATGTTTAGTATGCACATGAATGATTTAGAGTACTGTGATTGAGATAGCATAATAGTGGTATTAAAGTACATCATATTGCAAAAGTATGTACTTGTATGCTGTTGGTTGACCATGTCTGTTTTGGTCTTCATAAATGTTATTTTAATCTTCCAGGCAGAGATTGCCCGACAAGAGGCTAGGCTGAAGATGGAAAAAGAAAACCTTGAAAAAGAGAAAAGTGTCCTCATGGGAACAGCATCTAATCAGGATAACCAAGATGGAGCTCTTGAAATCACTGTAGGTGGCGAAAAATATAGATGCCTCAGGTTTGCTAAGGCGAAGAAATGAGGCTTTATAAAGAAGATGAAGAAAAGAAATGCGGGTATAATGTGTATGATGTCCTTTCCTAAATTCGCTGGAGCCAGTTTGCTATTTTAGAATTTTATTCATTCTAGATGCATTGATGATATGCATGTAGGTTTGCTTTCAGTACAGCCTATTGATGGTGTCCATTGTATGATTCCTTTTCAATGAAGAAAAGAAAAAAAAATGGTGTTTGTAACTGACCAAAATAAACAGGTTGTGATCCTTTTTACGTTGATGGTACTTATTATAATTAGCATGGTTGAGAATTTACACAGGTGCTTGTTTTCAAACCCAATCTGTTAAATGAAGCCACTGGTATGTTAAATGAAGCTATGTAGCAATAATTGAAAATTCTCGTGTATTTTCTTTGTTGCCAACAGTGGTGTGTAGTGTAGCCTGTTGATAGAGTGGATTCCCAATAATCAGAGTTCAAATCCTGATAGTCTCAAGCACCAAAATAAACTTTTTTTTTTTTTTTCCTGTTTCTATGAGATGAGTTGCTTTTCACTTAAAAGTGGAAATTGAAAGGGTCTCATTATCTATCCTTATTTTAAATGGGCCGTAGAAGAAACTAATGAAACAAGAAACTTGATTAATCTCGTGTGGAAGTCATGCGATTGTAGAAGGTGGATTTAACAAAGTTGCTTTGCCCAAATTGTGGAGTTCTTATTACGGTTCCTGTTGGACTCTAGAATACTCAGTGCAAGAGAGGGATATGTGAAGACTAAGCAAGAAAAAGGCCATAATAGGAGATCTAGGGTAAAACCTTAATCGATGCTAAGGCATGGTTTAGAATGCAAAGGCTTATGACCCACCAGACCAGGGTTCCATTAACTAAGATTAAGATGTTTGATCGTGGATTCTCTGTCAAACCAGGTGTATTAGGAAAACATGTGATGTGACGAAAGGAGCGATCAGGCCACATCAAACCTACTTGCATTTGAATTGTACTTTTCACTCAACTAAAATATTTGCAGTTTTCTTGCCCTTTCCCTTAATCTCTCTGCACCCGATAGTTCCAGAAGCATGAATTATTGTGGAGCCTTTTGCCAAAACGTGACGATTTTTATTAACAAATACATAGCAGCAGGCTACCTATATATATAATTGCAATTGCCACTTGAAAATTCAAACCATCCCGGTTGGACTGGTGTGGAATTATTATTATTATTATTTTTTTTTTAAGAAAAATTTGAGGTAGATAAAATGTTCAGTACTTCAAGTCAGGATAAAATATATCGTACCTGACAATTTAAGACAGGTGGTTGCAGATCGTACATTCAAAATGATCTCAACAAATAATCAGCGACAGGACTCGAACTCAATATTTCTTTGTTAAAAAAATTGACCTTAACCGATTGAACCAATCACTCGATGTGAAATTATTTTGTTTTGCTGATCGGAACTCTATCAAAAGTCTACGAGAATACTCTCACACAACTGTAGGGTTGACCAAGAAGGAGATATAACACATTGTCGGAAGAACAGCTAATTGAGATCGACACCAAATTGATCTTGGTGCTTTCCTTGTTTTGTTTCAATGGTGTTTATGCGGGAGGAAACGGAGGAAGAACAGCAGATTCAGCAATGGAAGGTCTTGAACAACGTGGAAGATGGCTATCACATTAAGGGAAGGAGCTCCGGTTTATTTAATGTCAAGAAATTTGGTGCTCGAACCGATAGACTGACTGATGATAGCAAAGTTGGCTTCCTTCTCTTTCTGCCAGGCTTTCAGAGCAGCACGGAAGAAAGCATGTCAGGCTAAGGGTGAGGTAGATCTTGTGATTCCAACAGGGACATACTCGGTTGGCCCTGTTAAATTGGCAGACCCCTGCAAAAATGTGTCTAAAATGACAGTCCGTGTGAAGGTAAATTTTTTAATACATCCCGGCTTATTTTCTTCTATCCCAATTCCCATCTGCATTTCCACGCATAATTAGACCAAGATTGAGCAAGAAGCTTTCAGTGTTATCTGAAGGCAACAACAAATTTTGCTTGTCTAATGGAGATGGTTCTGTTTGGGTTGAATTTAGATGGGCGAAGGGGATAACCTTGACTGGAGGAGGGACCTTCGATGGACAGGATGCCAAAGCATGGCCATACGGGAGGTGCCCACTGACTTTAACTGCATACTTCTTCCGACTGTATGTTTCATAACCTTCTACCCTTAAACATTTTATTCTTTTAGCTCTGATCAACTGTATTTGCACATTGACTATAGTTTTGTACCTTGCACCCAACCGCTTCTAGTAGGACCCTGGGCTTAAAGATTGAAAAGAAGCGTGCTTTTTTGCAGTCTGTATGGAACAAGCATTCAGTGCATTTACGAGTTATAACATGTTGCAGCCAAGAATACGGATCAAATCTAATGAGGAAAAACTTTCTTTTTTGCAAACTGTAAAATTTGTGGCGATGAATAAGATGGTTGTAAGAAGCATAACAACAGTAAATAGCAAGTTCTTTCATATATCTCTTGTTGAAGACAAGAATTTCAAGGGCAGTAAAATCAAGATTTCAGCCCCAGCAGACAGTCCAAACTGATGGTATCCACATTGAGAGAAGCTCTAGTGTCCAGTTTCACGATCATTTATAGGTACAGGTGATGACAGCATCTCTATTGGACAAGACAATTCTCAGGTCACCATCCAGGCATCAGCTGAGGCCCAGGTGTTTGGACAAGGAAATAACGCATTTATATGTACAGATGATGACAGCATCTCTAGTGGACAAGGAAATTCTCAGGTCACCATCACAAGCATCAACTGAAGCCCAGGTCCTGGCATCAGGTACTCTTTTAACTTTCTAATTACCTGATGCACCATATTCCTCTTTTCTCTTATAATTGTATACTTCGTGTTGGAGTATGGAGTGTGAAGCCGAAAGAGAATTATTTGGTTTACACCAAAAGGCAAATCAAGTGGAGACGTGGAGACCATATTGCACCAACGGCTCCAAAATGAAAACTTTTGCATGTTATAAACAGGCTGAACGAAGTGCAAAAAGTGCAAGTGAAAAACAAGAGTAGTGCAAGACTGCAAAAAGTGTAGAAAAGCCTTATGCTTTGGGAAGGAGTCTAAAGAAGTGTATACTTTTACAGAGTTTTGTTTATTGTAATCTACTAATTTTCTTATTTTTCATCATAGTAAAAAGTTTTGTCATGCTTCCAAGTGAATCACTATAAATCTCGTGTGTTTCTCGTATAATATCTTTATTTTTTGCATTTGTCATCGTTTTTTTGTAAGAAAAGTGGTTTAATCCTTGACAATTTATCCTAATCTTTGATCTACTAACTCCAAAAAAAATGTTTTTTTCTTATTCTACCATTGCCTGTTGTAGCGTTGGGAGTATGGGAAAATTACGGACAACGGTGATGCAAGTGGTAGGTGGTTAGAGACTGCATCCGGGACCATGAATGGCATTAGGATCAAGACATGGGCTAACTCTCCAGGCAGAAGTGTTGCCATCGATGTGACGTTCGAAAACATTGACATGAACAATATATGTGACCAATCCCATTACAATCGATCATGCATATTGTCCATTCACATCATGCACCCCAAAGGTAAGTCCAGATGACAATATATGTCTACATTTCTGCAATATCTATCCGGAAAGAGACCGATAAAAAAATTGCCACAAATGACCGAGTGCAGGGACCATCTCAAGTGAAACTGAATGACATATATTTCTAGAAATTAAAGGGAACATCACCATCTACAGCGACAGTAGCACTAGAATGTAGCAAAGGGATTCCATGCCAAGACAATTACCTTCGATATGTGCACTTGGAGCTGGCATCAAGGGAGAAACAAGCGACTTCCACTCGTAGAAGTCACAGGGCTAAATACGTTGGCACCCAAGTCCCACCACCCACGTGCTTAGCTTTCATGTTAAGACAAAATTGTGACATTTTCAAGGAACCCCGGAATGCATCGGCAATATTTATGCGGTTAACCAAGATGCGTTGTGTTGGCTCTAATCACGATGATTCGAGCATTGGTATAGTATAAAAAATTAAAATTTATAAATTTATATTATATTTTATATGAAAATTATTTATTATAATTTATATTAATAAAAAATATAATATAATTTTTTATTAAATTTATATATAATTATTATTATTATTTTTAAATTATATTTTATTTTTATATTATATTTATATTATATTATCTAACACAAAGTAGCCAACTGTCTTTTGTTGTTTGGGTTGGAGTGGAAAATTGTAAAAAATATTTTTTTTCTTGAATGTAAATAAATTTATTTAAATAGAAAAAGAAATATTTTGGACAAATTTTAAAAATCTTTTATCGCTTACCAAAATAAGGACAGAAGCTCCTCTAATATTCAAAGATATTTAATTACATAAGTTATTTTCCCCGTCCCATAATATTAGTCTTTCATTAATTTTTACAGAGACTAAGAAAAACACTTTGACTTTCGTTTATATAATATTAAATTTAATTTTCTTTATAAATTTCAAATTTCTTAATTTTTAATGATAAAAAAATTCATCAAAAATAATTTTAGAATATAAAAAATTAAGACATTTAAATGTTAAAAAAAAATTTAAATTGGGATATAAAAAAAAACAAAACGGGACAGAAAAATTACTATCTTTTTATTACATCTTAATAAGCCTTTAAACCATTATTGTTCACTATCAAAGCCCCTTAATGGATTGAATAATGGACACTTATTAATTCACTGACATGCATGCTTTTTTAGCACAATTGAAGACATAAAAAATAAAAAAAAAAACAGATTTGCAAATTCCAATGTAAAAAACGCCTTCACTCCATTAATTAGTGCCCAAAAAAGCTTCTTGATTCTCTTCATTCGTACCTAGTCTTTCTCATCTCTTTCATGTTAATCCGCACTCAAGGAGAAGAAAGAACTCTTGATCCAAAAAGAAAAATCAGAGATTTTACAATGGGCTGTTAAAGGAAATGGCTAGCAACGATGGAACTCCACTTCGACCAAAGAAGAACTCTTATTACTATATATTTTGTTGGTTGGATGTGGATTTATTTACTCAATCAACAAAGTCAATTTTCTTAATTGATTAATCAACGTATGTATGACTATCATGACACAAATAAGATCTGATATTCAAACTCATCACTATAAAATAAGTTTGTTTTGTTAATGAGTGACTCATCCGATAATTCTAGTAACATCTCATCAAAGTATTATTTTAAAATTATATATTTAAACTTTAATTTGTATAAAATTATTAAATACGATTCATTTTTATCTATAATCATTAA